TCAGTGAATGTATCTTTAAAAGTCCCAGATCCTTACGGCTGATAAAATCATCCAGGACCTCAGGTTCAGGAGTCAGGTGGGGGTGTGTGCTGTAAAGAAGTTTTCTGTTTTCTTTTAGTCACAGAGACCAGGGTGTGAACCCTATTTCTGACACTTAGCTGCTGTGTTACTTTTTTCAAGTGGGACTTTGTCTCTTCTGTTTCTTTCCTTTTTCTTTTTTTGTAGGCAATTGGGGTTAAGTGACTTGCCCAGGGTCACACAGCTAGTAAGTGTCAAATGTTTGTTCTGAGGCCGTTTTTGAACTCAGTTCCTCCTGGCTTCAGGGCTGGTGCTCTATTCACTGCACCACCTAGCTGCCCCTTCTGTTTCTTTTAAATGGCCAATTGAGAGTAGACAGCAGGAAGGACATCTCAACAGTATTGGGAGTAGGCAGAAGAGACATAGGGTGGAAACTGGGCCAGGGGAAGAGGTCTGGGGCCTGGCACTAGTGGTCCTTGTTTCTCAGAGTTGCATAAAATAGACAGTCTCCTGTAGTCCTTCCTAAGGGAGCTTAGCCTTGTTAGCCAGAGATAAATAGCCAATACGGTGTGAATTACTCCTTAGACTCTCCAGGGAATCCCTTAGACTCTCCATCTCCCTCCATTTAACAAGGGAAGGAGTGGTAGGGCAAGATAGCAGTAAGGGCAGGTTGACTTCTAAAGAGCCTTTTCTTTTATTCGTTTGAGGAGTGTGACTGAGGGAATAGAGCAGTGACCTCAACTGTTCATCAGAAGAGGTACCACATCTTTCCTTGGATTCAAGGCCCTTGTTATCCCACCAGATCTCTAGCTCCTCCTCTCCTAACTCAACCCTCTGTCCCCATTCTGTCCCCAGTGGTCAGTAACAGAGCTGCCTGTTAGTGGTTATAATTGAACTAGGGGTCTGATCACTGGAGGGTTAACTTCAAAGTTTATAGGACTGAAGATTTGAGCCCCCCCAACCCCGGACACACACACACACACACACACACACACACACCCACCCTACTGCCAACAGGTAGTAGTACATTTAGACAGAATATGGTGGTGCTGTCTCTACCTTTAGGTTCCTCTAGGGTTTCCCAAGGATGGAGTCTCTGCCTCTGTTCCCTCAACAGAGGAGGTGGACTGGGAAGCATTGTCTTGGGAGCCTGGGATCCAGGGCCACATCTCTCCTCTAAAACTAATAGGGACCCAGTGGATCTTAATGGTTATAGGTGTTGGGAGAGAGGTTTCCTGAGGACATTTGACAGAGGCTTATTTGGGAGGTTTGGGGCATCCAAGGGGGGATAGGGGGTAAGGTTAGGCAGTGGCTGATGGCAAACAGGAAGGAGGACTGTGGAAGCTGCCTGTAATTATGGAACATTTATTATTAATCAGATGAAATTGCTGGAAGCAGCTGGTGTAATGTGCATACTGATGGAGGCTCCTGTGGGCTCTAGGCCCTAGCCCCCTTCCTCATACTCTTTCCCCTCCCCATCCTCTTCTCCTTAGCTCGTCTACTCCCCTTCTCCATTCTCTGCTTCCTAATCCCCTACTCTTGCCCTCCCTGGAACACTGTTGAACCTCTCTTTTGTTCCTTTTTTCCCTGCAAATGATAGAGGCAGGTCTGTGTTTGTTAGGTATGTGTGTGTATCTCTACCTGACCATATATACCTTCATTTCTTTGTTTTTCTTCAAGGCCATGTGCCCTTCTGAATGTGTCTTATTGAGGTTGATTACTATCAGTCTGTGTCTACCTTTGTCTCTGTTCTGTTTCTGAGTTTGTCTCTCTGTGTGTGGGTCTCTCTCTGTGTGCCTTATGACTGACTCAGGGCTGAGGCAGGCACTCCTATCCCTTCCCCAGTTTTCAGGGTCACATCTGGATTTGAGCTGTAGCCAGGGCTCTGGCATCAGATTAGGTCTCAGGCTGTGCTGGCATGAATCCAGGACAAATGGACTGTGATGGACTGACTGGTGGACTGAAAGGGACACCCAATCTGAGTTAGTGGAGACAGCCTTCCTCTTTTAATGGGAAAGGGGAGAGATGCTTCTGGCCCTCAGAGAGGCCCTGGGCTAATGAATGATACACAGCCTCTGCTCTGGGGGTGCCCGTGATCTGAAGGAGGGGTTAAATATGGCATGAGACATCGGGTTCTGGAGAAGAACTGAGATAACTGCATGAATGTTGACTCACGCTCCGTGTTCATGAAATCAATATGCCCAGACTGAGAGAACCTAAATTTACCCCATTGCTGAGTTCCTGAAAAGTGTGTGTCCCTGGAATCCAGTGGTTGGTGACCTCATGGGAGCTACTATTTAAAAATGAGACTTTGTTTAGTGGGAACTGACCTGCCCTCCTTCACCCCTCAGAGAAGTTAGTTTGTAATGGTCTGCACAGGTTTTTCTTGGGATTAGAACACACATTATTCATTCACTTGGCCAATTAACATGTCTGTTTTGAGAGTTACCAATTACTCAGTTTGAGATAAACTGTGGGAGAGACATAGGAGAAGGTCTGCTTAGGAAGACAAACCCCACCTCTACCCAGATAGCAGAGGCAATAGAAGATGGTGGAAAGAGCCCTGGATTGGGAAGTTGGGAACCTCCCATCCCTGTTTCTGTTATTAACTAGCTCTGTGAACTTGGCAACATTGCTTTACCTGACTGGGCCACAGTTTTCTCCTCTGCAAAATGGGGATAAAAAGGTCTGCACTTCCTTCCTCACATTGATGTTAAGGTGGAATGAGGCAGTGGAGGTAAAAAAGGCCTTCGAAACTGTAAAGCTCTACAAGAGTACAAGGGGGATATTGTAGTATGTAAAACACTCCAAGGTCTCATGTGGTAAGTGCCCAGTGAGTGGTTTCTATATCTGGAGGTGTAGATACCTTATAATAACACTGGATAATACTAAAGCCACTCCTGATTGGCCTAGAGCCACCAAGGAGGAGTGAGCTAAGGCCTGGACTGGAGGGGATGACCTTCTCTAGGCCAACCCCTGATTCTCATTCACTGGCTGCTCTTTCTCCCACCTCTGCAGGGAAGGGAGGGGAAGGAGTCCTTTTGTTAAATCTGCCAAACAGTCACTTAGACATAGAAATCAATCCAAGGGAGTGTAGCAGGACCTGGGAAGTGTGAATGAGCAGCTCTTGGCTAATCAGGTAATGGAGGCCAGTCTCCCCATCCCCCTCTCCTCAAAGTGGGGGGAATCAGCAAATAGCTCCAGGGGCTCCAAGCCCCTCCCCATCCTACTTTCTTATCCTCCCTTCCCTCTCTGATGTTCTCTATCTCCTACTATGTCCTGGTCTTTCCCATATAGCCAGGCACCAGGTATAGGCAGAATTTTCTTCCCTCCCCCATGCACAAATACCTCCTGTTCCTCCCTCCCCACCTAGGGTGCAGCTGCCCCCCCATACCCCATAATTAGTGAACTTTTACAATTGGGAATTCACCTTTTGCCAAGCTAGATTTGAAGGTGATTGGGGGCTGTTCTTCCTGAAGTCTACAACTTTCCAGAAAAAAGCATTCTCTAGTGGTCTTAAAAGGAAGGGGATCCAGGGGCAAGGAGTGGACAGTCACCAACAGACAGAAGTGGTTTGAGGAGTCCCCTGGTCCTCTTTCCCTTTCAGGTGCAGTAGGAGGAGAGGAACTTTGATGGGGTGGGGATCAGTGACAGCTAGCCGCCATAGGCCAGGTCCCATATTTCAGGCTCTGACACCTGCCACTGGGATAGATGGGTCCTCCCTACCACTCTAGTTCTGTCAT